ACACTCACTTCTTCTGGAGGTGAAGCTGGATCACGAATGATTCATGTGAAGATAGACGCATTTGGGTAGATCAGGGGCACATTCCCTTCAGAAACAAATGTAATCCACTGCGTCTTCAGTGGCTCAGATGTCTCGAGTAAATGACGACTGCTATGTTCATTATTACATCCAACAACAGAACACCTCAATCACTTAGGAGACATTCTTGTCTACATCTGCTCCGGCAGTGAAACAATGATGGACTGATGACAGCTCACTCAGGGCGGGTCTAAGGTAAAATGCTAGTGTCAATCAAACAATCGTGGGAGGGGCCTGGGTCTGTGTGACGTCACACAGACAGCTATCTGAGATCGGCTCGATTTGAGAAAGGTAAAATGATTTAACGAGATAAAAAAAACACTGGGTGGATCTTATCATTATAGGGTGGTTGTGTACACACACTGGCAACACACATTTCAGTTCAAACAACTTGTAAAAGTGCATGTAGCATTATGCTGAAATGCTACTGTCAATCAAACTATCGTGGGAGGGGCCTGTCTGTGTGACGTCACACTGACAGGCATCTGAGATTGGCTCGATTTGAGAAAGGGCTAAAAATTTTAGTAGATAACAAAAAAAAACACCCGGTGGATTTTTATCATTATAGGGTGGTTGTGTACACACACTGGCAACACACATTTCAGTTCAAACAACTTGTAAAAGTGCATGTCGCATCCGATGACCCCTTTTAATGACTCAGATCTGAGATGGCTGAATATGGTTGAATATATTTGACCTGGTATTAGAAGGTGCAGGTCCTAGATGAACTAATCACAATTCCTGAATATCCAGTTAAACATGATGGGTGTTTCTGCATTGCAATAACAAATGCTGTTATATTAAAATACGTAGCTTCAATCACTTTTACCCAGAGCCGATCCTAGACTTCTGGGGGCCCTACGCATTTTACCGTCAAAAACAGCTGTGTCTACAGCAAGCTGTTTTATTGCATGTCGCTTTAAATGCAAATGAGCTCTGCTCACCCCGCCCCTCTCTTCTGAGCCGCTCTCTGAGAGACGGTAAACTTTAGCCGCATTCATCGTGAAACTTGCTAACTAGCACGTTATTAGGAAAGACGATTTGCAAAGATTCATTAAAAAAACCTTACACTCACTTCTTCTGGAGGTGAAGCTGGATCACGAATGATTCATGTGAAGATAGACGCATTTGGGTAGATCAGGGGCACATTCCCTTCAGAAACAAATGTAATCCACTGCGTCTTCAGTGGCTCAGATGTCTCGAGTAAATGACGACTGCTATGTTCATTATTACATCCAACAACAGAACACCTCAATCACTTAGGAGACATTCTTGTCTACATCTGCTCCGGCAGTGAAACAATGATGGACTGATGACAGCTCACTCAGGGCGGGTCTAAGGTAAAATGCTAGTGTCAATCAAACAATCGTGGGAGGGGCCTGGGTCTGTGTGACGTCACACAGACAGCTATCTGAGATCGGCTCGATTTGAGAAAGGTAAAATGATTTAACGAGATAAAAAAAACACTGGGTGGATCTTATCATTATAGGGTGGTTGTGTACACACACTGGCAACACACATTTCAGTTCAAACAACTTGTAAAAGTGCATGTCGCATCCGATGACCCCTTTTAATGACTCAGATCTGAGATGGCTGAATATGGTTGAATATATTTGACCTGGTATTAGAAGGTGCAGGTCCTAGATGAACTAATCACAATTCCTGAATATCCAGTTAAACATGATGGGTGTTTCTGCATTGCAATAACAAATGCTGTTATATTAAAATACGTAGCTTCAATCACTTTTACCCAGAGCCGATCCTAGACTTCTGGGGGCCCTACGCAAAACTGTGTCAGTGTGGGGGATGGGGGAGGATGAGTTATTAATGAATGAAACGCCTTTGTACGTGTTCACTCCCTCTCGAATCGCTCTCACAGAAAGCGCTTGAGAAACGCTGTGGCTCGGTATGCTTTCAACTCGTTTTTTTTTTTTTGTCTCGAGTAACACTATGAGACACTATGACATTCACGTTACATGATTTGACTGATTTTTACGTAGAAAGGGCGACAGCGCACCCCATTAAAAGAAATTATATAAGCGGTTTTCATAACCGCTGGCCAAATTCAAAAACGAATCTAAAATTAAATCATCTTTGAGAGCAAGGGGGACCCCTGGTGTTTCGGGGGCCCTACGCAGCTTGCGTACTTTGCGTATAGGGAGGATCGGCTCCACTAGTGTACATGGAGGTGCTCTAAACACTGGTATGTTCAAAGCTCTCAATAATCTCTCTTAAGATTTGTACTAAGTAACTTAGTATACCAAACCAGATAATCATTTCAGCAAGGAGATTATTAGCTAAATCGGAAACAACAATGCTTCAAATGTTATGAAGAGGGTCAGACACTGAAATTCTCAGTTGGTAGTTAAAAGAAGCCTGTTATCTCACAGCACAGCTGATTGGCCTTGTGTCATCTTGGAAAGTACACTAACGTTTCAAAGTTTGTGGTCAGTATGATTTTTCTGTTGTCGTTGTTGTTGTTGTTAAAGAAACTAATACTTTTATTCAGCAAGGATGCATTAAATTGATCAAAAGCCACAGTAAAGACTTTAACTTTTACAAATAAATGTTATTTATCAAAGAATCATGAAAAAAAAATAAACCATAATGATTTTTACAAAAGTATTAAGCACTATTTTCAACATTGATAATAAGAACTGTTTCTTGAGCATCAAATCAGCAAATTAGATTGATTTTTAAAGGATCATGTGACACTGAAGATTGGAATTGGAACAAAGGAATAAATTATTTATTTTAAATTGTAATAATACTTCACAATATAACTGTTTTACCTTTTTTATATTAAAATAAACATAGCCTTGGTGACTGGTGAGTATAAGAGACTTCTTTTAACAGCATCATAAAAAATCTTTTCAACTTATGAATGGTCCATCCACACACACTGGATGTATGTTTTAGATTTACAATAAAATCAAATTGTTCAAAATACCAAATTGTAAAAGTAAAAACACTTTTTCTTCAGTTCTACAGCTTGTATAAATTGGTTTTACAGCGATTAAGCGACCATCATTTGTTATCAATGAGAACTGACGAGACGTGGCCACTACCAGTGAACTGAGCAATTTTGTCATTTCAAGCTAAACAGTTCATTGATGAACATTCATGCTTGAAAATACATTTTAAGTATATAGGCTAACTTTAAATGAACTAATGCCACACAGGCTACTCCCAGGTGGAAGTCAGCAATTATTACAATAGAAAAACTGTGGAAACGACCCTACAGCTTAAAACTAAATGATATCTCAGTCTGACAGAGTACATGGTGCTAAGATCCCATGAAAGATCCATAATTAGGTGATTAACTTGGCCATGAGTTGTACTCAGGAGGTCAAAAATAACACTGCAATGTGCTCGGTCAGGCAATGTGGTTTCCCATACTGAGATGGGCAGGTGCTGCCAGTTCCAACTGTCGGAACACCTGCCTCCTGTTACCCCCTCTTCAAAGCCCCCCAATTCAGCTCTACATGGCCTTGGCTCAGGTGCACAGAAATGCCGGACAGGGCCCTTGCTGCTGCCCTTGCGCCCCTAACAGCTGACACCCTGAAATTATCCAAACTGCTCCTGCATAAAATCAACTCAGCCCACAGGGACTGGACTGCTAACTCAGATCTCCAAGATCCTGAATTGCTGAAAATCAAACAATGACAGATACCTCTGAAAAATAATAGATTTAAAAAGAGTTCATCCAGCAGATCTTTACCATTCACACATATGTCTACTGTCCTTTTCACATGGGGTCAGTATGATGGTTTTTTTTTATTCAGCAAGGATGTATTAAATTGATCAAAAGTGACAGTAAATGTTTACAATGTTACAAAATAATTATATTTCAAATAAATTCTGTTCTTTTGAACTTTCAAAGAATCCTGGGAAAAAAACAATTATCATGGTTTGTACAAAAATATTAAGCAGCACACCTGGTTTTTACATTGGTGATGATAAGAAATGTCTCTTGAGCACCAAATCAGCATATTACAATGATTTCTGAAGGATCATATGACTGAAGACTGGAGGACTAAATGGTTAATGAAAATGTAGCTGTTATCAGTTAAGTAAATCACATTAAAGAAATTAAAGAATATTATATTAAATATTATACAATTTTATATTAAAGTATATTTCATATATGAATGTTACAATAATACTTCTCAACATTTACTGTATTTTTGATCAAATAAATGCAGCCTTGGTGAGAATAAGCGTAAAAACTGAAAATATTAGAGACCCCAAACTCTGTGTGTGTGTAAAATGTAAAATTCTATTCTATAAAGAGGTACATACACACCTACATCCATCCACCCATGTACCCATGCCAGCATGGAGGAGGAATTCTGAACAACTGGTTTTCACCTGTCAATACGACGTCGCAATGATTAAGTCACATGTCTTGTCAACACCATGATAAACCCTGTCAAAAACGATTACGTCACTGCCAATATAACACATAAAATAAGTCTGATAAAAATAAACAAAATAAATTAAAAAAAAAAAAGAGACTGACCACACAAACATGTCCTTGACTCACAAATCACCAAATGTTTTCACCAATGACCGGGATCATCAGTGCTTGGCTATTAATAAGGTAAAGCTAAATTAAGATAATCCTCTCAAATGGAATAAATCATCATGTAAATCTCTAGTGAAATACACCACAAGCTCCAACAAAATCCAATCTGCTACTGCTTCAGCTAAAGAAAAAGCTGCTTCAACATCTGAATCTTCCGGTACATTTACAAATAAAATGCGAAAGAAGTATTCCTTGTATGTAGTTATTTTCTTGTCTAAAACATAACAATATACTATAGAAAACAACTTGAAATTTGTTGATAGTGTATCCAGGAACGCAGGCAGCATTTTTGTACAAAACCCCCCAGCAACAGCAGTGACATGCCGATTCTTACCGTCATAAACTGCTCCAAGGGTGTCCAGTTTTATAAGTAAATATTATTTTGTAAGAGACCCAAGGCAGGGAGCAGAGAGCCCGCTCAGAGCAGCGGCAGCGACAGCCTCATACTGACCCACTCCAGCCCAGCACACACATTCAACTCAACGGGGCCTCCGGTTCCTATAATCCACACAAACTCGATCCTGTGAAGCCAGTCAGCGGGGACACTTTACAATCCACTCAACGGGACCACTAGGGCGGTGGAAGGGATCTCGCAGCAGAATAAAAACGCATTTCCCACTCTGGAAGTCGGCTCATCGGGATCGGTCACTTCTCAAGCTGTGTCTCCGTTCACGTTGCTGTTACATTGTAGGATTCGCAGAAGCAGTAGCAGTAGCAGTGCTGAGTGTTACATTGTAACATGGCGCGACATCTCTCCGCAGCGCCACCAGCGGCCGGGCGTGGAGTCACAACCTGGGAGGAGGGACATTTACTGACAGACAGATAGACAGGCAGATTGATAGACAAGCAGACGGATAGATAGACAGGCAGACTGATAGATAGATAGATAGATAGATAGATAGATAGATAGATAGATAGATAGATAGATAGATAGATAGATTTTCAGTACTGCTATTAGAATCAACATGGTTTGATATCTGATATAAGTGGGCCACAACTGATTACTCTGATACAACCTACCAACTGTTAAAGCAATGAAGGCATTTACGTTGTTCATCCAGATTTATATGGACAATGGTGACATCTTGTGGCATAATTGTGCTGATGCTCCTAATGACTTGCTTTTCACTAAAAAGTTTCATTACTTAGAAGTATATCCTTAAAATGTACTATGTATTTGAGTTTTAATTATTAATTTGCATTTACTGTATGTCGTTGACTATCTTAAAATGCTATGTTATGTTTAGGCCCTGTACTGTGCAATAAAACAAATATGTTAGTAGCTAGGAATTCTTGAAATATGTATTATATCTAAAACTTAATAGTAAACAGAATATTAATCTTACAGTATGACAAATGTTTAAAGACTAAACTGCATGGGGGGGAAAACTTAGTTGAAAGTTAGCTATTAGCTGGAGAAATAAAAAAGTGTTCACAGAGACATGCGAGGACTTACACTGCAGAAAGCCAAACCTACTGGAAATGTCATTACAGAATGAGTGATCTAGTATGTAGTAAGTGGACTGGGAAATGTGCACACCCAATGTGTGCTCCTGCAAGGCCTCTCAAACAACTTTTTGGCATCCATCCTTTGGCTGACGGTCACTTACATTATGACTGTTATATGTAGGCATGTATCATCAGCAAACATACTTTAAAAATACGACCGTAAACAACTGAACAACTAAAAAAACCTGTGTGGATAAATGCTAACACATTTTAAAGTCATTTTGTTTTTCATGTGATTGTGATGGCATACATAAATATGTATGGCTGGCATATATAATACATAGCCTAATGTCTCTTACTCATTATAATGTAACCTAATCAGCAGCACAACACTTTGGCAGATGTAGACTAGAACATGATGGACTTAGGTTAAATTGTTTATTTGTGAGAAAGGGAAGACAAGTTATCTAGTGCTGTGTTGTACCATTTGAAAAGCACTGTCCATATACAAATGCAGTATCGCAATATGATTTTCACATGGTACAAACCAAGCACATATATGCTTTTAAATATAATCAGACAGTTCATACTTTCTCATTTTTCAAAAGATTTAAAATCTTATCCCGTCTAGATGTGTAAGGGGCGTGTCTGAGTTGCAGCAGATGTCCAGGAAACAAGTTTCCACTGGGGGCGTACATCTCTTCCCCTTTTGTGCCCATTAGAGAGCGCAAGGTCTTGTTCCGTGTCAAGATTTTGTCATAGAACTCCAAGCCACCCTTTGCATAATCGCTTGACAGACATGCTGCACGGTGGTCCGAGCTGTAGTCCAACCACTGGCTCAGAGCATCAGAAGCCAGGATATAAGACACGACCCCTAAACCCACAGCAAACACATTAACGCCAGCCCTGAAGAAGATGGACCCAGCCTGGAGCCCAAAGATCTGCTTGAGGGCTATGCTATATATACAAGCCCCTGCCAGACATGCTGGAGCCACTGCAGCGTGCAACACGGGACCCCCAGGACCCAGTCGGGTCACTTCTCGGGCTATAGCAAACTTCTGTGCCTCCGCAGAGAACACCAGGGAGTTTTTGAGAGCAGCGCCTGAATCGCTGTCCCACTGCAGCTCTTTGCCATGGATGAGAATAGTGCGGTTGGTGATGCCCGATGGATCATCGTTGGTGCTGTTGAAGTTGGCTGGGATGCCGATCTGCACTCCAGAGGGAAGCCATGGAACACCTGCCCCTACCGGGTGAAAGCCGAAAGCGGCAAAAGCACTGAAGTTTTTATGGAAGCTGACAGCAGAATCTTTGAGCACCTCTTGAAAGACGTTCTCAAGCTTCTCCGACAGGCTGGCTGGTTCTCCTTTGTGCCAGGCCTGGTACACTTTTCTGTATGTATAATCTGGGAAAACATGATAGAAAATGTTGGCAGAAAATACCCCTCCACAGCCGACAAGGAGCAGTGGTGTCCGATACTTCTGAATAAACACAGAGAGTCTCAGAAAAGGCGAAGCCATCTCTTCTCTTGCTTTTGATCACTTGAGTAAACTGTCAACACAAATGACAAAATTATATTATTAATCAAATAATCATATTTGCATTTCACATCAAATGTTATATCCCATCAATAACCTACCATGCATATATAAATATTTATTTTCCAAAAACTATATGAAAATTAGTTCATAAATGCATTTTGCTTTTAAAAAAATATGCTGTGCATTTTCATCATTTTATGTCTCTCAAGCCCTTCTTTTCCGAACTAAAATTTCTCCAAAATCTTTGTGTGAAATATCCATTTAAAAATATAAAACCGTAAGTATTCTCTCACTTGCTACTTTGTGCTCATTCTCACAAGGACAGCACGTTGACTGTTATGGAAACATCTACCGCAAGAACTCTTTACGACAGTTTTACGACAACACAGACGATTTTGCGGACTCCGTATAAATAGAATAAGGATTAGAATAGAAATTAAAGTGTATAATTCGTACCACTAAAATGGGAATGGAGTTGTGGATGTGTGGGAAAAAAAATCACAAATCACATACTCTACGTTTTGTACTCATAAATTAGTGGATATCGCCGTCTTTTATTGACTATTGTATGTCGCGTGTGAATGGGTATATTTTTTGCATAAACCAAAAAGATCCACCGAGCGCCTCCTAGAGGAATAAAACTTTTTGACTCGTAGAAAACAGAAGCCAAAGCCTTTATTTCCCTATGCAGTGAACTTGATCTTTTTCTACGAAGTACACTTTCAAAACAGGCACTCACAGATTAATTTCATACTTATGTCAGAGCACCGGTTGGGCACCGAAAGACCCATAACAATTCATTTTTTTCCCTCATTTTTTCTGTTGTTCAACCTCATCTTTTGAAATGTGATAAATGCCAACCCCTACGCCTTTCTATTTAACGGTATTAAAAAGTTACAATTACATCTGTCAAACGTCGTCCTCTTAAGCTAAATATACAAAATATAAAGTTATTTTTATTGTCCTTTCAAATATAATTGTGTCTTTTCATCTCACACATCATCTTCTAAACACCGTACAGTAATAAACTTAGCTGCCGCTTTAAAAGAGATGATGAGGCGTCATACAGAGGAACAGTCCATTTGCTCTTGTGGGGAAGTGTCTTCCGTTTATGTGACAATGTACGGGTTTTGAAGAAGACGGTGTTTTAGGAGAAGTTCTGGGAATATATTCACGGTTGTTTGTTTCAGATGTGCAATGCTGCTAGTTACATTTTAAAAAATGAATGCAAAAAAGTTGGCAAAAGAAACGCATCCACCCCGTCGAAACCATTCTATTTATAGCATCAGCAGTTGCGATGTGAAGATTGTTACATTGTAATTTCATAAGGGCGGAGGAAATGTCTTAATTTTTCATTTAAGCTGAAGGGCAGCTGTTTTGCTAAGAGCCTGTTGATTATTCTGATATACAGGGATGTCGAGGAGTCGGGATTTTTGCACACTTGGTAAATCAACCAACCCATGACTGGTAAGTTTCCTGCCAGAGTTTGATAATGGTTTTTGATGAGCATTGTCATTTATCAGTAGCTACTCAGAATCACACTCATGTATGTCATTTCAGACATAAACCTTTCACGAATGTCAGTTTATAGCCCTCAGATTCAGCTCGGCATTGTTTATAATCATCATACGTGTTTATTAAATAAGATAACTCTGAATTGAGTGACAGATCTAACGGAATACGTCAGTACGCCGCGTTAAAAGTGACGTCATCACTGATGGAGAGAAGAGCGCAGGGAACTTCTGAGTAATAGAGTATTTATAAAGAGAAAACTAAATATAGCTTTACAGCTGGGTGGAAGTGATATAATGATACCTTTAGAAAATAAATTATAGGCTACAATTTGTAATAACATTGGAGAAGGTAAATGGTCGGCTGGCCATCGGGAGCACCGGGAGGAGAATTCGGTGGCCTGGCGGCTGATTTGGCCCGCTGCCCTGTTTTTTTTTTATATTATTATTATTATTGTTATTATTATTTTATATTTATTCCTTCTCAATGCACCAAAGTGATCATTTCCGATTTTTTCATTCGATAATAAATCATAAATTGGTTAGTTTTGACTCTTGGCTGTCAGCGAATCAGCTCACGTGTGTCCCGCGCTTCCGTCAAACGATTCCGAACAGAACCGATGCGCGAGACTCGATGAGAGAAAGCGGCCAGAAGAAGCAGGGACTGTAGCAACATCACTGACCTGTTCAGGGCTTCAAGTGCAGGTCAGTTTAATCTGTAAATACGCTAGATAGTTTTGTCTTTATTAACCTAGTTGAGTAATAAACTGCTAGTATCCGTTAGGCTATCAGTAGCACCCTATTATTATCATCATTCAGAATACTGTGCTAAAGGACATCAAAATCGATTGTAAAGTTACATTAAGAAATGAGCAGAGACAGGTAGTCACATGGATTTATTGTACAGGGAGCGAGGGAGCTAGAGACAAAAACACAAAAATAATACGAGTCACAGCCTAATAATTCAATAGTGTGTTCAGTATTAGAACTTTTCAACAAATACATTGTACTCATTTTGACATTTAGGCACTTTAGAAAATGTTTTAATACACAGTCAAAAGGTTTTCATCATTAAGATTTTTTATGTTTTTTAAAGAAGTCACTTCTGCTCACCAAGCCTGCATTTATTTGATCCAAAATACAGCAAAAACAGTAATATTGTGAAATAGCTTTATATTTGAAATAACTGATTTCTATTTGAATATATTTTAAAATTTAATTTATTCCTGTGATTTCAAAGCTGAATTTTAAGCATCATTACTCCAATCACATGATCCTTCAGAAATCATTCTAATATGCTGATTTGCTGCTCAAAAAACATTTATTATTATCATGTTGAAAACAGAGTAGATTTTTTTCAGGTTTCTTTGATGAACAGAAAGTTCAGAAGAACAGAATTGATCTGAAATAGAAGTCTTTTGTAACATTATAGATGTCTTTATCATCACTTTTGATCAATTTAAAGCATCCTTGCTAAATAAAAGTCATAATTTCTATAATCCCACCCCGCCACCAAAAAATTAAAAAAACAATTATACTGACTCGAAGCTTTTGGTATAGTGCATGTATAATGTTACAAAAGCTTTTTATTTCAGATAAATGCTGATCTTTGGATCTTTCTATTCATCAAAGAATCCTGATTTACTCAACTGTTTTAAATATTGATAATAATAATAATAAATGTTTCTTGAACAACAAATCAGCATATTAGAATGATTTCCGAAGGATCATGTGACACTGAAGACTGGAGTAATGATGCTGCAAATTCAGCTTTTTGATCACAGGAATAAATTACATTGTAAAATATATTCAAATCGAAAGCATGTTATTCTAAATAGTAAAACTATTTCACAATATTACTGCTCTTGCTGTATTTTGGATCAAATAAATGCAGGCTTGGTGAGCAGAAGAGACTTCTTTAAAAACATAAAAAATCATAAAAACTTTTGACTGGTAGTGTATATTTGTATGAAACATAGGTTTGTTAAATCTAGGGTATTTAAGTCATTTTAAGATAAATAGCATTCTGTGCTAACAAATTGAAATGAGGTGGTTGTTTTCAACAAGGTGGACACAGTTCTATTCATAACAGTAGACCTGCTGGTGAAGAAGTGACAGCTAAGAAAAAGAAGGGAGAGACAGAGATATTGGGGAAAATGAAGAAAAGGGAAAGGGAAGTGAATTGGTGCAGTTCAAGAGAGAACCTTTAATTATTTTCCACGGCCCCAGACTAAGGATTTAGACCTTTTTATGTGATGGCCATACAAATAATAGGGTTGTCTGTAGTTTCAGAAATTGTTGTGGATAATAGGCTATATACAAAAAAAATTGCCCAAAATCGCACCTTTTGGTGTACACCAGCTTGTCACTGGAACAGGACCCTTAAAAGGACATCTTTGTTCCTTTTTTACCTCTAATAGGTAGGCCTGCATATTAGTACCTTAAGTGTACGAATTACTACTCTAAGGTACTAATATGTACCTATTGGGGGTAAAAAAAACTTACAAAGATGTCCTTTTAAGAGTACTGCTCCAGTGACAAGCTGTTGTACCCCAAAAGGTACAATTTTGGCCCCTTTTTTTCTGTGGCCTGGATGAGTGTGAGATTTCCCGGCCTGAAATTGCGTCCCAGTCTGGCTCCAACCCATTTTTTTAATAAAAGACTTTAAACAATACTATAAACAATACTGTTCTGTGTAAGCATAAAAGGCAATTAGATCATCTAAAATTATTCATAAATATGAAAGGTTTATAAGGCAGATATGAAATATGAAAGGCGGTCAATTTCTGTCACATAAGAAGAAAAAGAAATCAAGTTGAAATCATAATTATAAAATAAAAAGTCATAATTATGACATTAAAAGGTAAAAATTGGCATTAAGTCATTAAATAATTATGACAAAAGAAAATTTAGCTAAAACACTGGAGAGAGAGAAAAAAAAACGAATAAATTACCATTTTAATTTTTGGATGAACTCCGCCTATTGCCTACAACTAAAGTACATGAACTGTGATCATAAGAGGTCAGTTTGAGGTCTTTCTCATGGGTGTGTTTGGTCGAGAGGTTCTCATAGTTCCCTTATGAAAGCGAGATCACTCAAATATTCAGGCCTGGTGGAATTAGGAAGGAAGTTTACTCCTTCCTCACATTGTGGGCCGTAGGAAGGGGTGGCTGTCACCCACTGACAGACTTTTCCTCCTGAATAGCACACATTGCCCAGCTCACGGCCCGGGCAAACACTTCCTCGTTAGCCTAGCTGACTTCTTCAAACTCTTCGCTCTGCTCCTAGCATTTTCTTTATAGGTAAGAACATGTTTTTACTTATTTTCATACAACTTTTAGGTTCAAATGGTTATTTCACCATAGGTCTGTACATAATAACATTGGGGCACTTGCTTAAGAATCTTGCTTAATAGTTTTACACAGCCAGTCTATGTATTGTTTTTTGTTGTTGTTTTTTTTTTAAGTAGCTTAAGGAATGTAAGTGCAAATGGTGCATTTGTACTTTATGGTACATTTTATATATTTAATGTTTTTTTTTCTCCCCTCTTCTGTACTAGAATCAAAGATACCTTTGTATTTAAAAACACATTTGCAAGGCAAAAATGATCTTTATAATGATCTTTTATAATAAATAAATATATGAATATCATCAACATTTTGACATCTTATTCTCGTCCTTACATTCTCCTAGAAACTTCATGGAGCTTTGTTTAATTTTTTTTTTTTTTTTTTTTTTACTTTATTTTAGACTGTAATCAAAAATAAAACAGACTTGGGTTTGGAAGATTCAAGGCTTGTGTTGTGCAGAAAATAACAGCAATTACAAAGAACCACATTGTCTGTG